GGTTCGTTCTGAAAGCTGACAGCCTTTCATACGTTCTGAGCTTTATGCGGTTGATTTGTTTCAGTGATTGATCCGTTTGTTGAATGATTTTCTTCGTAGTGAATGAGAAACGTAATGAATTCATATTTGTTTAGATTGGAAATCTGAAGACTTGGAGAAAGAAAAGAAGAGAAAAGCGATTGCGATGTTGAAAGAGCCGAAAGATTTCAAACCGGAAGATTATCGGGTGGTACTAAAGTGTGATAAGCAAATGGCGAAAGGTCAGCTGAAAGGTGGTACGGTGGTTAATTTTGATGAGTTACCATTCTCGAAGCATGCAGACTCGGTTCAAAACGCGATTGATGCTTGGCAATGGATCATTGCACCGATGAAAGTGGATGAATTTTTCGAGTTAGTTGTTTTAATTTGGTGAATTTGGATTTTGTTTCATATGGGTTAGGAGTATCAGTATCTTGCACTGAAGGGCGTCTATGTATCTCCATGATTTTGAGAATGAATTGACTGAGAATAAATGTCATCGTTGTGTTCCTATATCATTAGTTATATCGTAAGGCTCTTTATTAGTGCTTTCTTGGTAATGAATTTGAATACATTGCAGTAACATCTTCGAAAATAAAACATTGGTGGTGCACAGAAAGAATCCACAATATTATGGCAATCTATACAGTACGAAAAAGTTCGTGAAGATTTTACAAGAGGTATGTGTATGCATAACTTATTTTCTGCCTTGTCCACCTTAGTTATGATTACTGCTTTAAAATAAAGTATTAACACTTAGAATTTGGGTATTGAAATGATTTACTTTGATGAGTTTAGCATTATTTGGAATATGGCACCCATGTGAATGCGGCTGTGTATATCGATGGTGAACGATACACGCCAAATGGGATCGGCAAGGTGTATCCAAATGAGATACGTGCCCATCTCAATGTCAGTTCGTTCATTTGTTCGTTTTTGTTTTGTTTTTCACTTTATGTCAAATAGTAACCGAATTGGATAAATATGGTTGAGGTAGCTATCCGAGTAGTACACAGATATATGTGCGTGAATATATTTTTATATTTGCTACTTCAGGCTGGCCATTCAATTCAATTTGTTAACCCACAAACATATTGCAATAGCGTATGGCACTTATGCGATACTATCCAAGAAATGTTTGGGTCTTTCGTAGGAGCGAACACGTGAGTTTTTACCGCTGGATTTGTTCGTTCGTCTTGGATGTCAATTTGATGATTTTGCCTTAAGTGTATAGAAAATGCAAGATGTTATCGCAGTTGTTGTTGTTTCGGTTAGTGATTTTATTAGATTTTGATTTTGTAGATATTTAACACCAGCCGGAACAGCCGGTTTTGCACCGCATTGGGATGAAATTGATGCATTCTTGATGCAAGTGGAGGGGCGCAAACATTGGAAAGTTTTCGCTCCGGTAGGAGAAGGCGATGCTCTGCCGCGGGACTCGAGCGGTTCGTTTGCATTTGATTTTGGATTTTTAAGTGGTAGTGGTTGAGCGTTGAGTTGGTTTGAAACTCGTGATTCACAATATTAGATTCAGGAAACTTCTCGGATTCGGACCTGGCTGGTCGTACACCGGTATTTGACGGATGGATTGAGCAAGGCGATCTCATCTACATTCCGAGAGGTTTCATTCATCAGGTATTCATTCATTCATTGTGCTATTGAAAATGTTTGAAATGAAATTGGCGTTCCAGTGATTCTGTTCGCTCATTTATTTGTTTATTTATTCACCTTTCTATGCAACGTGAAGATAAGTTAGATAGATGTATGCAATTATTACCCATCACGAACTGAAGTAACACTTACTCTAACGTTAATCGTGTGCCAGTACTACTGATGTTATCGCGTTCAAGTCAGACAATCATTTGACTTGTTTCTAATTACCTGTTCATGCTGACTGTT